TTGCCTGGTCGTAGAATTCAAGTAACCCTGTGAGGCTGGACTTGCCATCCCTGAACCCATGTTGATGCTGTGTTACAAAGTTCCTTCGCTCCAGATGTTCCACTAGCTTTTCTCGCACAATCTTCTCCATCAGCTTGCATGATATGCAGGTTAGGGGTACTGGCCTGTAGTTCAGTGCCTCTTGTCTATCCCCTTTCTTGTATATGGGGACTACGTTAGCTGCTTTCCAAATTTCTGGCAGTTCCCCTGTTGCCAGTGATTTGTTGTACACTATGGAGAGTGGCAGGCACAGTTCTTCTGCTCCTTCCTTTAGTATCCAAGGGGAGATTCCATCTGGGCCTATAGCCTTTGTCACACACATGTGTGTGTGTGTGTGTGTGTGGTTGTATTCACCTAGTTGTGCTTGCGGGGGTTGAGCTATGCTCTTTCGGTCCGCCTCTCAACTGTCAATCAACTGTTTACTAACTACTTTTTTTCCACACCACACACACACACACACACACCCCAGGAAGCAGCCCGTGACGGCTGACTAACTCCCTAGGTACCTATTTACTGCTAGGTAACAGGGGCATTCAGGGTGAAAGAAACTTTGCCCATTTGTTTCTGCCTGTTGCGGGAATCGAACCCGCGCCACAGAATTACGAGTCTTGCGCGCTATCCACCAGGCTACCAGGCCCCCCAACCTGGTAGCCTGTGTGTGTGTGTGTGTGTGTGTGTGTGTGTGTGTGTGTGTGTGTGTGTGTGTGTGTGTGTGTGTGTGTGTGTGTGTGTGTGTGAGAACAAAACAAAAATAGTAGTTAGTAACAGTTGATTGACAGTTTGAGAGGCGGGGCCGAAAGAGCAGAGCTCAACCCCCGCAGCCACAAATAGGTAAATACAACTAGGTGAATACATGGGTGGCAAGGACCAACATAGGACGCCCGTCGCCGCCACGTGGCCTGAGAGGACAAAGACAGTTTTGGATAACAATCTAGAATCCGTCAGTTCTCTGATATACATTTCATTAACGGACTTTATAGTCTCTGTCACACGGACACCATTGGAATGCACGACTCGCGCCTTGAGATAAAGATCATGATGAATAATAATGTACAATCACTATTCAACAAATTGTAATCCCTAAGTAATAACTAAACCACTGTGAATCACAAGTGAAGCTTCTGCACCATAAGTAACTGTTAAGGCGTATCGTATTTAATGTAGGATGCAATTACTGCTGTAAAAATATGTGTAATTTATTTCTTGTGTGTAAAAATATATATTTCTGAAGCAAAAAAAAAAAACGCTTAAATGCTTCCGACGTCACGTTCTCTGTCACAGCTCTTGCTTTGTTTACAACAATGGAGACGGGTAACGTGTTGGTCGAAAGGTGAAGTATCAACCAATCAGCAAGACGTTCACAGTGACGTAACGTAGAGAGACCACGCATCCGATTGGCTCACAGCTCACTTGAGATCCATCCTTGCACAGGAGAAGACATGCCTAATAGGCCCCCTTGCTCTTTGAGGAATGTTAAAACTTCGCCATAACTGCTGGGTCACTCGGCCTGAGTCAGAAGACCGTTGAGAGATTCTCAAGCTGTTTCTCAATCGACTTGAGAATGGTCCAGGACGGACCGAAACGTCGTCGTCCCTTCACCTTCCAGTGTGTGGTCTGGTCAACATTCTCAACGGCTGTGGTTAAAAAAAAAGGTAACAAATCTCCCAGAGTAAGGAGAGTAACTGTTGTTGACTTTGAAGGGTTGAAAGGTTGAAGGGCTGAAGGGGTGAAGGGTGAAGGGCTGAAGGGTGAAGGGCTGAAGGGTGAAGGGCTGAAGGGTGAAGGGCTGAAGGGTGAAGGGCTGAAGGGTGAAGGGCTGAAGGGTGAAGGGGTGAAGGGTGAAGGGGTGAAGGGTGTGCCTCATGTTGGAGTGAAGTAGTCGGAGCCATGAGGCGTCGCGGTGACCCCTCACGCTTGCCAACCTCACCGCTGGAAGAGGGTCTAAAACAGCTGCATTATTCATGGCTGGACACACTCGGGAGCGGTTGGTAGACGTCTGTGTTTGGCCCGTGACAGGAGGCAGCGAGCATCACAATAGGATCACACGCACTGACTGATGCCCTTGTGGCCAGCCTCTCGAGTTGCCACAACAGGCAAAATACAGGCTACTAAAACCCGTGAACCCAAGCCACACCCTCCCCACCCACCTAACCTCACCAACCAACGTACAGAAAACGTGCATGTTTGCAAGCAGTTATCTGCCATAGTACCTCTTATTTTTGTCCTTTGAGAAGACAGGTTGCTCTGGCTGGAGAACATAGATGCTTAGTGAACTAGGCAACAGGTTGTACTACCACCTATGGGTGTACCTGGGCTAGTAGCCTCAGGTGTGTGGGGCTAGTAGCCCCAGGTGTGTGTTGCTAGTAGCCTCAGGTTTGTGGGGCTAGTAGCCTCGGGTGTGTGTGTTGCTAGTAGCCCCAGGTGTGTGTGTTGCTAGTAGCCTCGGGTGTGCTAGTAGCCTCAGGTGTGTGTGTTGCTAGTAGCCCCAGGTGTGTGTGTTGCTAGTAGCCCCAGGTGTGTGTTGATATTAATTTACACTATAGTGTACTAGGGACGCACTGGTGGCCACAGTTACTCTATTTACGTGTCAAGATGAAGCAATATTGGGCTATACAAGTTCCAGGAAGATGCGAACATTGTGTGATGATTTGTGTCTATTTTGTGATTGGAGAGCTGTTATTTACATTATTTTTAGTGCTTAGTATTCCAGCGAGCAGACTAGTTTATACGCTAGATAACATGTTGGTGCTACTGATACAGTGTTAGATAACATGTCTGTGCTACAGAGACATAGTGTTGGATAACATGTCTGTGCTACTGATACATAGTGCAAGATAACATGTCTGTGCTACTGATACATAGTGTTAGATAACATGTCTGTGCTACTGAGACATAGTGTTAGATAACATGTCTGTGCTACAGTCATAGTGCAAGATAACATGTCTGTGCTACTAATACATAGTGTTAGATAACATGTCTGTGCTACAGTCATAGTGCAAGATAACATGTCGGTGCTACAGATACATAGTAGCACAGACATGTTATCTGGCACTGATACATAGTGCCAGTGTCCACAGCTGTGCCACCTGTTGCACAGCCGACACACCAAGAGCGACAAATATTATTGGTAATTATTTTGTGTATTTACCATTGCTTAAGAGAGAACATCACATTATTGAGCCCCTGAAGCTGAGTAAAGGTAAGACTGGGTTTACAGGGATAACCGGACAAAGACCCTAATTATCTATTTAAATAGGAGATACATTGCAGCTGTTACTATCTTGAGCTGGAACCAATGGTATTGGCGTATCGGCGCCGTAGCGAGAGAGGTGGGGGGGGGGGGACCCGCTGCTTGGGTGACAGCTTCTCCCCCGTGTCAACCTACCCTGACTTTGCGCCCTGGAGAGGCCACTCCAGACCGACAACCAGAGCGCAACTCCATAGTCTCCTGAGACTGATGGATACCTACTAGTATCTATAAATAGTATTTGAGTTGCTGCTAGTTTTGAAACACTGACTAGAGTACACGTGACCAAGCTAGTGCTGCTATCTACTAGTGCTGCTATCTACTAGTGCTGCTATCTACTAGTGCTGCTATTTAATAGCCCAGTCAAGCACTGAACACAAACAATTGATCGCTCGACGACAAAAATCTGTATTCTAACGGTACAAAATACTGGCAGATTCATAAATTAATTTCTCGAGCAAAAGTGAGTCATTATTATTTATCGCCCGCCATTTGTTAATTATATCTGGGAGGTAGTTAATGTGTTAGTGAGTCGTAGACACTCTCTTGCTAAATGTTTGCAGTTAAATTAATGAACATAATTATATTGCCTTGGCAAGTGGTGGAGCAGTCACTGGTTATTGGTCAAGGTCTGGAGCAGACACTGGTCACTGACCAAGGTCTGGAGCAGACACTGGACACTGACCAAGGTCTGGAGCAGACACTGGTCACTGACCAAGGTCTGGAGCAGACACTGGTCACTGACCAAGGTCTGGAGCAGACACTGGACACTGACCAAGGTCTGGAGCAGACACTGACCAAGGTGTGGATCAAGGCCAGGACCACTGACCTTGACTCAAGCGCTGGGTTGACGGAGAACTGAAGCTCTCATATACTGGTGAGAGCTTCACACTCAGGAGTTAACTTTGGTCTCCAACTTTGTTCAAAACTGTGTGTACCAAAACTGTGTATTCAGCAAGCTTAGTAATGTATACTTTTAGACTGATCAGTAAGCTGGATTATGTAAGCTTGTAAGTTAGTTGTGATTATGTAATTGATTGATTATGTATTGTTGAACGTATCAAGAAACCTAACTTAACCTATCCTAACCAACGTCACTAACCTAACCTTGCCAAATCTGGCCTAACTAGCCTATCCTGTCCTATAATACTCTACCTAACCTAGCCCAGCTAACCAAACCTAACATAACTTAGCCTAACTAACCCAGTCTATCCTAATTTAACCTAAGCTAGCCTAACATTATCTAACAATTTATCCTAGCATTAAATTAGCTTAACTAAGCCTAATATATGAAAACCAGGGACCAGTGTTATATTAAATTTGGAATTATAATAATGTTAATTATAAATAAAAGCTCTTGACTGTGATAATAAAGTTATGCAATAGAATAATTTTACTAAAAAAAATAAAGCGGGGGATAATGGTGCCAGTTATTTTGATCTTTTTTTTTCCTTTATAATCGCCTTGGATTTCTTGAGATCAATAAAGACGACACAAAATCTTGAGATCAATAAAGACGACACCAAATCTGATCAACTGGTGAGCACAAACGCTACGGAATTCGAACATTCCGTCAAAATTTCAAATCCACAAAATCTTGTACCAGGCGCAGAATATCCGCCATTAATTTACATAAACAAAGAAAATATGACATGAAGATGTGTCAGTGACTCAAGTTGAAGAAGAAGAAGAAGGAGGAAGACGTTTCTCTTACCTTTAGCGTGTAGGTGGGCGTCTGGGGGTCGCGTGGTGAGGTTCAGGGGCTCGTCGTTCCTGCCACACATCTCCCACCCCAGGATATCGGAGATTCTGTGGGGGGTGGGCGCCTTGGGGCAGGCGTCGTACACGTGGGGGTGCCACGAGCGGTAGACTGGCGTGACGCCGTGGAGGACAGACTGACTGATGGGCGTGGGCGGCTTCAGGAGCTGGCTGTGAGTGGGCGTGGGCGGCAGGGAGGGGGACTTTGTACCTGGTTCAGGGGAGGGGAGGGAACTGGACGGGGTGAGGGAGAGCCCCACGCTCCCGTTCATGTTGTAGGCGCCTACGATGTTGTTGTTGTTGGTGGGCGCCTTGGCCTCGGGCGCCGACTCCCCGCCGCCAGACATTACTTCGAACATCGAGGCGGCAGTGACGAGGCAGCGAGGCAGGGCGAGGGGAGGCAGGGCGAGGGGAGGCAGGGTGAGGGGAGGCAGCCAGGCAGGGCGAGGGGAGGCAGCCAGGCAGGGTGAGGGGAGGCAGCCAGGTAGGGCGAGAGGAGGCAATACAGAAGTGAGAGAAACCAACAGCAGCAGCAACAGAGTTAAGAAAAAAAACAGAACAGGAAGAAATTGAACAGGAAATCTGATAGTAGTCGAGTGTCTTAGGTGGTGGCAGTGTCTTAGGTGGTGGCAGTGTCTTAGGTGGTGGCAGGAAGAGGTAGGTGGGGGTGGTGGCAGGTGGGGTGTGTAGGAGAGGGAGGGGGGGCAGGATAATGGTGGGGGGTGGGGGGTGATTACCTAACACCTGCACCCGCCCCCAGGAACCCCGTCACCAGGGGGGGAGGGGAGGGGGGAGGCACCGACTAAACACTCTTTGAACCAAAGTTCCACTAATTGCTGTATCCCGAATTTCTTTTGCTAATTACTCGGTGAACGAGTCTTTGGTGTTGGTGTCCCTGGTGTGTGTGTGTGTGTGTGTGTGTGTGTGTGTGTGTGTGTGTGTGTGTGTGTGTGTGTGTGTGTGTGTGTGTGTGTGTGTGTGTGTGTGTGTGTGTGTGTGTGTGCACGGGCGCGCGTCTGTATGTGTATGTGTGTTTGTGTGCGTGAGAATGAGTGAATGGAACAGTGGCAGAGAGAAAGAGAGTGTGAGAGGGGGTGGTGGGAGGGGATGGGGAAGAGAGAGAGGAAGGGATGGGGTGGGGTGGGGGGAGGAGGGGGGACGTATCAGTCCCCACCGCCAGCCAACACAAACAGGTTGCTGATCCTTCACTGGGGCCGGTGATCCGGAGCGGCCTACAGTGGGAGGGAAGAAACCAGGTTGTTTAGTGGAGGGCTTCACGCCAGCCAGGCCTGCGCGCTCTCACTCTTCCGCTCTCTCTCTCTCTCACTCTCATTCAGTCTTTCTTACTCTCTCTCCTTCCCTCTCCTCACTCTCTCCCAGTGACCTCCTCTCCCCCCTCACACACTCACAGTGACCTCCTCTCTCCCTCACACACTCACAGTGACCTCCTCTCTCCCTCACACACTCACAGTGACCTCCTCTCTCCCTCACAAACTCACAGTGATCTCCTCTCTCCCTCACAAACTCACAGTGACCTCCTCTCTCCCTCACACACTCACAGTGACCTCCTCTCTCCCTCACACACTCACAGTGACCTCCTCTCTCCCTCACAAACTCACAGTGACCTCCTCTCTCCCTCACACACTCACAGTGACCTCCTCTCTCCCTCACACACTCACAGTGACCTCTCTCCCTCACACACTCACAGTGACCTCCTCTCTCCCTCACACACTCACAGTGACCTCCTCTCTCCCTCACACACTCACAGTGACCTCCTCTCTCCCTCACACACTCACAGTGACCTCCTCTCTCCCTCACAAACTCACAGTGACCTCCTCTCTCCCTCACAAACTCACAGTGACCTCCTCTCTCCCTCACACACTCACAGTGACCTCCTCTCTCCCTCACACACTCACAGTGACCTCCTCTCTCCCTCACAAACTCACAGTGACCTCCTCTCTCCCTCACACACTCACAATGACCTCCCTCACACACTCACAGTGACGAGGACACCAAAATAACAGAAATCAATACACAATAAAATATTTAAAAACACCAGTTAAATCTTGGAACTAAGAAACGTGAGCCAGATACACACCTTAATAATTAATCGACTCTGAATAACACCCCAAGTCATAACTGCGGTTTGTTCCGTATTTTATTCATAACCCGTATGTGGTGGGTGAGCGGCTCTGGAAACTGCGTAGTACGTTCTCGAGACCGCGGGTTCGAACTAGAGGTGGGGAGGGGGGGGGGGGGGGGGGGAGGGGGAGAGGGGTCGCGTCATTGTGGTCCAGTGAAAGGGGGGGAAGGGGAGGGGGGAGGGAAGCTGTTGCTGCAGACAGACGCTAACCTGTTGCATGTTGTTCCCGTGTTCAGAGGATTGCTTCATTGTACTGGAGAGAGGGGAGAGAGAGAGAGAGAGAGAGAGAGAGAGAGAGAGAGAGATAGAAAGAGAGAGAGAGAGAGAGAGAGAGAGAGAGAGAGAGAGAGAGAGAGAAAGGGGGGAGGGAGGGATGGGGGAGGGAGGGATGGGGGAAGAGGCTAGAGAGGGGGAGGGAGGGATGGGGGAAGAGGCTAGAGAGGGGGAGGGAGGGATGGGGGAAGAGGCTAGAGAGGGGGAGGGAGGGATGGGGGAAGAGGCTAGAGAGGGGGAGGGAGGGATGGGGGAAGAGGCTAGAGAGGGGGAGGGAGGGATGGGGGAAGAGACTAGAGAGAAAGAGAGAGAGAGAGAGAGAGAGAGAGAGAGAGAGAGAGAGAGAGAGAGAGAGAGAGAGAGAGAGAGAGAGAGAGAGAGAGAGAGAGAGAGAGAGAGAGAGAGAGAGAGAGAGAGAGAGAGAGAGAGAGAGAGAGGGAGAGGGGGGAAGAGACTAGAGAGAGAGAAAAGGAGAGAGGCAAGGTATTGTGTTTTAATAAACACCGCTTCGTCCAAGCTGATGGAGTTCGGTGTCTGGACGGGGGTTACCGGGCGCAAGGAAACGGAGTCATTGGGTTTAAGGAGATAGAGTGGTTGTTACAAGAGCCCCCCCGGGAACAAGCGTCATGTGTTGCTCTAACACAAGGAGTCACACTACCACACTCACGACGCCTTGATGAGAGAACCTCATTAGCACAGAGCTACGATCGCTCAGTGTTCCTCACAGCCTAAACCAGAATGTCTGCATGGACTCGTTATAGTCTCTTGGAGGTGTTGTAGCCTCTTGGAGGTGTTGCAGCCTCTTGAAGGTGTTGCAGCCTCTTGGAGGTGTTGCAGCCTCTTGAAGGTGTTGCAGCCTCTTGAAGGTGTTGCAGCCTCTTGAAGGTGTTGCTTCATGTTCAAATCAAGTGTGTAACACCTCCGTCGATTTCTACAGTTGTGGTAGCCTAATAAGGAACATTTATCCTTACAGTAGGATTCATATACACGACATCCTTGCACGGGTGACGAATCCACGGGTGACGAACTGAACAAAATAACCTTGTTTCGTTTCCTGAAGATAAATGACACGAGATTAAGGAACAAGCAGCGTAGTGTGAACACAAACAATATCAACCAGCAGGTTTCTTATGACCCTGTAATACTTCCATAGCTAAAAGAGTTATGTATTAGTGAAAAAGACCCACTATTAATGTATAATGATTAACTGTAATTACAAAGATACTGAAATGTTTACAATCTCCGTAACTAGCTGACAGTATAATTATAAAGTGTGCAGGAGATATGTTATTGTTAATGTAATATTCTCCGTTGAGGTCTGATGAAGACCTTTTGTGCAAACTGTATTTTTTTTTTGCGCTACCGCTCACAGGATGAGTATGGGGTGCACAATGACCTAGCTGCCTCCGGCGGCAACAACTGCGATAGTAAACCTTCACATGTTTAACTCGTGATGTGAACCTCTCCTGCTATCCCTAGAAAGAAGACCTTTTAGATATGTCTCAGCCTAGCCCAGGCTAAGTTGGGACATATCTGCCGTTGTGATCATTAAGGAACATGTTCATTTGTGTGTCTTGGGGAATTAGAAGCAGGTGGTCCTTCCAAGTTGTGTGTGCAGGTGCTAAGTGTACGGTGTTGTGAGGCTTATAACTTGTCCTGAAGCTATTTGGTTTAATATTGAAAGCCGTTTCATCGCCATCTTAGCAACTAGCATAACAGATTCAAGGCGACACAGCCAAAGTCTCAATAACATTAAGAGGTATTAAGAGTCCTCGGAGGCCTGGTCGACGACCGGGCCGCGGGGACGCTAAGCCCTGGAAGCACCTCAAGGTAGGTTCTCTCGTGTCTCTGTGTTACTAGTTAAACAGTAACTACAGAAAACTGGACACAGCGTATTTATTCTCTCTGGGTGATGGGCCTCTATGTAACTTGTATGCAACACACACACACCAACTCGTCCTTTCGAACACTACATCACATTCTGACGCATAACTCGAGGACTGCCTCGAGGTATAACTCGAGGACTGCCTCGAGGTATAACTCGAGGACTGCCTCGAGGTATAACTCGAGGACTGCCTCGAGGTATAACTCGAGGACTGCCTCGAGGTATAACTCGAGGACTTTATTGATAGGAAGATGAGCCGCCTTGCTGCCTCCTCTGGACTGGCAAACATGTGCTCCGTCTATTAACAATTCTTCAGGAACCTCTTTTCCACGGCTCACAGGAAGGTACAATGGGATTGTGAGGTTACATATGATTAGTATTTTTACATTCCTAGCAAAGCCTCGGGGCCTGGTGGATAGCGCGCAGGACTCGTAATTCTGTGGCGCGGGTTCGATTCCCGCACGAGGCAGAAACAAATGGGCAAAGTTTCTTTCACCCTGAATGCCCCTGTTACCTAGCAGTAAATAGGTACCTGGGAGTTAGTCAGCTGTCACGGGCTGCTTCCTGGGGGTGGAGGCCTGGTCGAGGATCGGGCTGCGGGGACACTAAAGCCCCGAAATCATCTCAAGATAACCTCAAGAAGAATCCACTAACCCGCACAGCGTTTCAGGCAATATTGAGAGGAGCGAGATCCCTACCGACACCAGCCAGAAGATAGTTGTCAATCTATCACAAGAGCAAGAAGACCGCCAACTGGCTCACGAAGAACAATTCTCCAAGAGAAACGTCTTGAGAGAGAGAGAGAGAGAGGCGCATATGTCGTCTATGCCTTCACATGCCCACTTGTTACTAGTCAGCCCCAACCATCTTGGTATATGGACAAGACAACATCTCTCAAGGTGCCTTGACAAGACATCATCTCTCAAGGTGCCTTGACAAGACATCATCTCTCAAGGTGCCTTGACAAGACAACATCTCTCAAGGTGCCTTGACAAGACATCATCTCTCAAGGTGCCTTGACAAGACATCATCTCTCAAGGTGCCTTGACAAGACATCATCTCTCAAGGTGCCTTGACAAGACATCATCTCTCAAGGTGCCTTGACAAGACATCATCTCTCAAGGTGCCTTGACAAGACATCATTTCTCAAGGTGCCTTGACAAGACATCATCTCTCAAGGTGCCTTGACAAGACATCATCTCTCAAGGTGCCTTGACAAGACACAAACAACAAGGCTCCATCAAAGAACATAATCTAACAAACCCCTAAGTCATCAGGTGAGATATAAATAATAGACAGATACAATACAAAGATTAGACATTACCTCTCAAACAATCTCAGCCAACTATTAACAGCCAACTGGCACTTGAGATGCATTCTACCATTCACGAGACCAAGGCACTATATTTAGCTCTTAAGAACATTAAGGAACTGCAGAAGTCCTATTGGCTCGCGTGTCCTCCTACAACTTGCCCGTCATTGGCTATGTTGGTTGCTGCGGCGGCTCATTCGTGTCCGCTTCATTCAGTGTGTTAACGAAATGTCTCACCGCAATGCAATATGAAACTGGAGACTGAACTACGAATGTTAATTTTTCAACCTTCTCAAGTGAAGAACACACGAAATATATAGAGAATGTTGCTGCTGCAACAATTGATCTCGCCTTTTCTGTCATATTCAATAACTCTTATGTCTTCAATTCTATGTCAACGTCTCCTGAGACTGATGGAGGTCTACTGCTACGTCTACAAGAAAGACTGCTACCAAAACATGCTAATATATATCATCAAGTGATAAGTTTGACATTAATTATGTTTGAATACTAAATCAAGTTTGTTTATACTTGAAGACAATAAGTCATAGTAACAGAAGTCAATGATCGCACATGTCTGCTAAAGATGTCAAAGGTTCAATCTTGTATACAAA